TGGCTCTGTTTAGAATTGGTTATTAAATATTCTCAGGTTTAAGGTGGAAACTCGAGCCATTGGGCGCCATTTGTTGCTGGAGGGCTTCTCTCCAGGTTCCCCAAACCCCACAGTCCCACAATCCACGTATAAAATAATCACTCAGACACTTATATCACTTATAAAATGTATGGCCATGGCAGGCTTCTTGCTAACTGTTCTTTTATCTTAAATATCTTAAAACCCATTTCTATAAATCTATACCTTGTCACGTGGCTGGTGGCTTACCAGCGTCTTCACATGCTGCTTCTCCTGGCGGTGGCTGCAGTGTCTTCCCCCTCAGCCTTCTGCCTCCCAGAATTCTCCTCTCTCCCTGTCCCACCTATTTCCTGCCTGGCAACCTACTTCCTGCCTGGTCACTGGCCATCAGTGTTTTATTTATATAGAACAATATCCACAGCAACCAATACTCCTCAAATTATTCCATGAAATAGAAATGGAAGGGAACTTTCTGAACTTTATTTCTATCAGGGTCATACAGTAACAGATAAGCCAGGCTTTTAAGAGAGAGCAATGAGACTCTGTAGTGTTCTTGTGGGTAAAGCTGAGAGAATAAGGAAAACTCATCACTCTTTTACACACAAAGAAATGAGCAAGAATGATTTTGTGGAGCTCAGTGATAGACAGGGTCATAGCGGAAAAGCTACTCAACTGAATAATGTGGCTAGAGAGACATATCACCACTACAACTGAGTCACAGGAAAGGTAGATGTGGAAGGAAAGAGCATCCTGACATGCCCATTTCCCATCCTCTGCCTGATGCAGTTGAACTCTCCCTGAAGATGAAGGCATGGGAGCCCAGCAGGCAGAACCATCAAGCCCAGAACAGGATTAGAATAAATGTGGGAGCAAGGACAGAGACTGGCCAGAGTTAAGTGACATGCCAGACATTTGATGCATGCTAATGAATAATAGAAGAGCAAAGGATAAAAGCCCAAGACCCACCATTCAATAAACACTTTTGGACGCTGCTGAAACTACAGTTCCCTTGATGCCCTTGTGCTCTAAAGACCTCATTACATAGTATTTCAATCGGTCCATCTGAATGCAGCCTCTGGCCTGTGTCCTGCTGCCTCTGTGCCCTTCTCCAGGCTCAGCTAAGCCCTCGGGGTTTCCAACAAGACTATACATAGAGTATAGATTTAATTTGGGTGGGAACAGAGAGGAGCAGGGGCTGTTCTGAACGGAGCTAGGACATTATCGAAGAGAGCTAAAATAATTCCCAGAACATAAAATGCACTCTAGAATATTTAAGAGTTTTTGAAATGAAAATGTGGTGTCGCTGTACCTTATGGAGAAAATTTGGTGACTTCTAGGAAACCTGCCCCCTGGCATCTGTGTCATGAGCTGTGGGTTCACCAGACGCCTTGTTACCAAATGCCTTGTGGATGAATGTCTTTTGCTCAAATAGCTTTCATCATATCACGGGCTTTGATTGCAAACACAAATCAGCTGCCTAATCACAGCAGCAGTGTTGACAAAGTCTTGACTGTGCTGTAAGGGTTTCAGAGTTATGAAGACACTGGTGGCCACTGTGGGTCTCCTGCTGGTTGCTTCCTCCTCTGTTAGTTGAAGAGGCATGAAGAATGTTCAGCACTAGCTTCTTCAAGGGATGATTCCTAGAATTCTAGCATTTGAATGCTTAGAAATTATTTGAAAGCCTTTTTTTTCTGTTTCCACTAGCCAGTTGGCTTTCCCATGGGATTGTGAGACTAAATTGGACAATAATTTTGAATTTATGTCCATAAATATTATTCAGTTTGGGGGAGGGGGTTGGTTATTTTTTACATGTGTATGTGATCCGTGTGTGTGTGTGTGTGTGTGTGTGTGTGTGTGTGTGTGTGTGTGTGTTTGGGGGGATACTTGTATATATGCAAGTACATACACATGTGGATACCAGAGGTTGATGTCTAGTGTCTTCCTCCTGCTCTCTACACCTTATATATTAAGGCAGGGTCATTCACTTGAACCCAGAATTCAAGTGAATCAACCTAATCTAGCTAGATTTGGCTGATCTAGGCAGGCGGCTTGCTACAGGGATCCTGTCTGCACCTTCCATGTTTGCTGGGATCATAGATAGACCACCATACCTCCCCAGCCTGTATGTGAGTGCTGCAGGTTTGAAATCCAGTCTTATAATCACATGGCAGGTCCTTTTCCCACTGAGCAATCTTCCCAGCCCTAAAAGTCAGGTTGAAAAAGTACCTTCTGTCATATACAGACCTGTTTTGTATTGAAATGTTGAACGAGTTTCTTCCTATCTGAGATCTGCATTTCCAGCGGTTAGCTACCTTGTGTCCCTTAAACCTTGGCCAATCAGAAAAAAGAGTCTGGGATTTCATATAGAAGCCTAGAGTCAGGAAGACTAGCTGGATAAAGTTGGGGCCGTGACTCCTAGAGGGTGCATCGCAAGAGATGAAAGGCTTCACCCTGCATTTCAGTGAACAACCCACTTCTTACCATTTGGCAGCCTTCTCTTGCCAAAGTATTTTTGACTCTCCAAGGGAGAATCCAACCTAAGCTTCAAGTAAAAGTGGACAAATCTAACTCGACCAAGGCCATGTCAGGATTCATCAGTAAATACCATCTAGGACCTCCAGTATCAAACTCCTTATAACTTAACCCCACTGGGCTAGATGAACTATGAGCTATAGATTAGATAGAAATACTGAATCAATGGTCATTTTCTGACTTAATCACATTGTTTATTAAAAAAAAAAAAAAGAATGTCCTATTCTCAATAACTCAATATAACTAGGACAAAGGAGGCATCATTACTATGACTTGCTCTCCAGTCTTAGATTTGGGGGAAAAAGTAATTTTTATACATAAAAGACACAGGATGATGAATAACATATTAATAATTCGGATATCTGGGTGTAATAGATGAAATTTATTTTTGCAACTTTTGTCTAAGATTGGTATTACTTCATAATGAAGTTGCCAAAAAACTAAGTCCAGAAAATGAGAGCTATTATAAGTGAGGGTGTTTAGCCATGCTATGTGGCACAGGAAGCTGGAAATGACAAATATCCTGCTTCATCGCATTTGAACTAACATGAGTCATCTTCTCTTTCAGCTAAAGGACACTTCTGTCTGTGAAGGTGAGCACCACAGATGCTTTGCACATGAGCCCTGAAGGTAAGAAGGGCTTGATCTAGTGCACAGCTGATTGCCTTCCATTGTCCATCTCATCCTGGCAAGGACAGGGACCCAGCTATCTTGATTCTCAAAGAACATCATCTCAACCCATTGATGTTCACTCATACAGGGCACTCTGCTATTCTCAAAAAAACATCTCCAATCTCCCTAGCTCATTGTCTCAGAAAACCTGATGTTCATTTCTTTTCCTTGTTTTTCTCAAACGCTTTTCATGGTTGATATCCCCTAGGAGTGCAATTAGGAGATTTTTATTTCCTCTTTACAATTTTCTGTACTTGGGAGATTTTTTTTTACAATGTCTGTGTTACTTCTATAATCAGAAAGAGAAATACTGCCTCTGCTTTTATTTTTCCAACCAGTTCAGTACAAATTCTATCACCACTTTCTGAGCCTTGTCTTGGCCTCCTTAATATTGTCACTCCTTGGACCTGCTCCACCCCAGCCTATATGACAATACTCATACATGGCAATCTCTGAATCTTCTCCATCTACTAACAGCAAGGAAGTCCTGGCAGCCAGGACCTGTCAGCAAATAGGCCATGGAGAAATCATCTGCACAGATTGCCTCTGCATATGCTACAGCCAAAGATCTAGTCTACTTAAGAAAATAGAGGGTTGCTTGTGTAAATCTGACGCCTTTCTTTCCTTCTCTTCCAGGGAAAGTAAAAAATATCATTAGGATAGGAAATTAACTAAGTTAACGCCTGAAAAAAGTTCTAAGTGAAAAGTTTCTGAAATTTCTTTGAGCCAACTCTCGGGGTTTACATCTCTTCCAGCAGTGACATGGTGGTGTCCCTTTGTGAGCCATCCCTCACTCCAGTGAAGTCCTACCTGTCTCTTGGACCAAGGTTTCTCAACATTGTCAAGACCTTCTGAGTCAAAGAATACATTGTTTGCCACAGAGACAGCTCTCTGTACGGTAGTAAACTTAGCAACATCAGAGTATAACACCACTCCCACCCCAGCTTCATTGCTTTGACAGTGTCAAAACATTGCTTAAGGTCCTGGGAAGGACAAAATCACCCACCCTGGGTAGTGACAGTAATGTGTTCAGACATTGCCAGATGTCTCCTAAGTGGAACAAAATCCTTTTTATCAAAAACAACTTCTCTAAGTTACCTCAGCCCTGGCAGGACCTTCTGTCTTTTCATTTAAATGGACTGAAATTCATAGTGTGCAGAGTGGACATTAGGAAATGTCTACAGAAAGGATACCATAAGTCATCCAGACACTTTGGGTACAAGAGATCCCTGTGACATGGACGTGCTTCCCTGGATGGTCCATGGGCATAAGGACTGATGGATCAATCCAGCTAAACTTCTATGCACTCCTTCCTCCGTTCTGAGCTCTGTCCCTTGATTTCACATCATCTGTAATACTCAAAAGATAGACAAATTGGGAGACAACAAGGTTATACTAAACACTGTAAAAATCTTTCCCCAAGAAGACAAGGACAGAAAACTGGAGTCTGAACTGTATTGCAAACACACAGAGATTTCTCTGCTAATTCCTTTTTTTAACTTTATGTATACTTACTTATTGTGTAAAAAAATGTCTCTTACTGCCTTTATAAATGTTTTAAGCAGGAAAACATAGAGTTTAAACAGTGGCTTAATTAAAATTCATCTTTTCCACTCCAAGCAGTACAGTACAGGTGGAGTGTTGGTAGCAGATGTGTCTGTGGTTAGAACAGGAGACTGAGGCCCTAAGAACAAATCCCAAAACACAAACATTGGTATGATCTCTGCTTGTTCATCTCCAAGTGGCCCCCAGGACCCTTTTATCCTTTTGGTTGACCTTCTGTAGCATCAATCCTAGCCCCATGTTCTCCACCCTTTACCCAACCTGGAATTGACATGCCAAAATTATCCTGATGCCAGTGTGTACCAGTGAAAACACAGGCAGGAACTTGAAGGCAGTTTTAAGACAAGCCAAGACACACAGCAACACGGTCCAGTTTCAATATGAAAAGAACATCCAGGAACCAACATTCATGAACACTCCCCTGAAAGGCTGGGACTCAGATTAAGAGCTGGGCTTCAACTCTTGTTCAACATCCTAACAAAAATACCATGGTCCGTTGTGAGCTCTTTCTCATCTCCAGCTTTTCAGTTATGTCCCAATGGTTGTGATCATTCCATAGCAAGGCAGAACAAAGCACCAACCTACTTGGCACCTTACATCCTTTTGCAAGAACTCTGGCATCCTCCAGGATCTGCCCATTCCAGTTCTTTCCTAGCTCCTGCTCATATACTTGTGACCTTAAATCTTGCCAGATTTGTGAGAGACAAAAGAGCTTAGAAGCATCCCAGAGCACTGGGGGGAAGGGATATGCCATCTATTTGGCATGCTTTGATGTGCATGTAAAAGTCTTTACCCATCATCTCTTTACATATCATACTTTCTGCCACCTTCCCCAATTCTTGCCACTTGGGCTTCTACTTTGACTAAAGCATGGTGTTGTTCAAAACCTGTGTACTAGTTTTGGCATGTAGACATGTAGCTCACTGGTAGAGCTCTTGCTTAGTCTGTGTGAGGCACTGGGTTGGATCCATAAGACAGGAGAAAGGAAAAAGAGCTACACAGTTGCCTACGAGGATTAGGACCTTAATTTCTGCCTAGCACTTGGTTTATGAGATGGACTTTCTTGTGCTTCTCTGAGAAGGCTAGGGATTGGAACCTAGAGGAGACTAATTATGGTCATAGTAGAGAAACTGAGTACACAGGCCATCAAATCCCATGCCACTAGCCACATATGCTGATTTACATGTAATTCCATTGAAATTAAATATTAAAGATTCAGCTCATCAGTTATATGTAATTCGTTTCAAATGTTAAGTAGCTACATGTGCTTAGTGGTCATTTTATTGGACGGGGAACATCTAGAATACTTCCATCATCACAGAGGTTTATACTGGAACAAGCTGGTCATCCCACTGAGGAGTTCTGGGAAAGTGAGACAGTTCAGGCTCTGCAGTGAGGGAGGGGTGACAGAATAGGATCCTAAAAGAAAGCGAAAGGGAGATCAGAATGCTTCAAATACCTCAGCAATTATGTCAACTTGTGCCCAGTCATGAAGAAACATGCAGTCTCAACCACAAAGCTCCAGGAAATGAAGGAGTGACCAGGGCTGCCTTGGAGACCCATTTTCTCCCTGGCTGGTCTATGGATTCTGTGAACTCATAGTGAAACAAGAGACTGGCTTCTGAATACTGAGGCAAGTGGGAGCCTAAACAGTGCTCACACCTAGGAGTCACTGAGTTCTCAGACAAAGAGAAATGAGCACTCTGGTGGCATCGGATCCTGGGACCATACTCAAGAGTCCACATAGAGCTGGGATTATTCAAATCAAAAAAGCAATGCAAGGAAAAAGAATCATCTCCATTGCGATTTATGCTTTTAGGGAGAGTCCAAGGAACACAGTAGGTATCCAGGGTAATTTTTGTCCCTTAGTCATAACAGTGGAGGAGTGGTCATTACCCACTAATAGAAACAGTGGTTCATCCTTACATAACACTTTATAGACAAGTAGAGTACTTTCACAAAAGTCACTCATCTCAGTCTCAGCCTCACAGTCATTCACTGAGGGAAGTAGAGGAGATATGGCCTTCTGCACTTTAGTTAAGGAAAAATGGAGGCACAGGAAGAGAAAGAGACAAGCCATAATCAGCATGGCTGGTGAATATCAGGACCAACCATAGAAAACACCCAGCTATCCTGTCTGCAGTCCATAACCCCTCTCTCAGTTGATACAGGTCCCTTAGCACCCATTCAGTTCCCTACGTCAAGTCATCCCCAAGCCTTGGACCTCCCCATAGATGCAAACTCAACCTACATATCTAGCTCCATCCCTGCATAGAGTCTCCCAAAGCTCACTGACTCTGCCTCATTTACTCAAACTGCTGCAAGAGGAGACAAAAGCCATGAAGCTCCACTAAAGCTGGAGCTGCTCTTCCCAGAAGATCCCTTCTTGCAAGCGAACACTCACACTCAGTAATTGCAGAAGGAAACCAATGTTTGTCAGTGTGCACACTGGGTCTACAGTCTGTCTTCTTGGTGAAAGAGAGGAGGGAAACGCTGCTTTTCTGTCTGCCTTGAGATACCCTTAGTCATGGCAGATTTATTTTTCTAGGAAACTGAGTTCGAATGTTTCCATTCACATGACTTTCAACAGCCTGTGGCCAAATACGGCGTAGTCTCACATTTGAATGCACTATAACTCATGATGCATAATAGTCATTCGCATAATTGGCTACATGGAACACTGGATTCTATATTTTCCTCTAGCACACAAAGATATACAGAGTAACTACGGCCTTTATGTCTAATGACCTCTAACACTAAATCCACCACTGACCAGAAAACTAAATAGGAAAGAAATTCTAAAGCTATTTAGATAACGTAATATTGAAGACGGTGGCAAAAATAAAATGGTCACTTTAAATGTGATCATTCCCAATAAGTCAAGGCCTCTAGCTTCCACATCCATCATGGCTTTGGCCTGGGAACTTGACTAGGGGTGCAACAAGAAAATGATAAGAGGACAAGCATAACACACATACAGAAACGCCGGGGTCAGCTGGGCTCTGCACACTGACGGAATGGCGGCAACCTGGAACCTCAGCATGTTTATATGTACAGCACAGGGAGGGAATGTAGCTAGTCTTAGTAAGAAGTCTCTATAGGCAAGCAATCTCGGATGTAAACATCCAGGAGGAGGGAGTCGTGTTGCTGTTTCTTGTCCGCATCAATCAATTGGCCTACTTGTACGCACTGGCAGCATTTGCATTCCGACCAGAGGAAAACTTTTGCATCCCTTGGAACCTCATCCTAGGGGTGGAATCTGCCATTCCCATGGGTCTGAGGAATTGGTCTTTGACATGGCCCTGTCAAACAATACACATTCACTCAGGACTTCATCCGCTCTTTACACACTCATTCAATGCCTCTGTGGCACTCCACACCTAGCAATGCACCCCTTTCCTTACATTGCAGAAGAACCCCAGTGTTTCTCTATCAGTAAGAAGCTTTCTCTACATCTAAGCCACGACATTTGACGATGAGACTGCTGAGCTGCCTATGCCAAGTTTTGCTGTATGCCCAAAGCACGCGGGCCATGCTCCGGACAGTCCACACTCTCCCAGGGCTGAGTGAGTGCAGACTCTAAGCCTCTTTCGCATCTTTTTGTGCCATGGCCCCAGCAAGGATACTTTGAGCTGCAAGCCATAGCATGCCTGGCTAAAGGTGGATTAAACAGTGGGCATGTAGCACTCTCCTAAGAAGCTCTGGGAAAATCAGTTTTAGGTTTGATTTAGCCAGTCATGATAACTCCAAGGACCCAGAATCAGGGTGAGAGTTGGGGGGGGGGGCTCCACTCCCCTCTCTTTTTTTAGCAGAGAGGAAATTTTCTGCTATGCCTCAATGACCAGAACTGAGTGGGATGGCCATTCCTAATGTAATCTTTGGACAAAAAAAAAAAAAAATGAATACAATGACCTTGATTAGCTTGTCTTGCTACTTCCTCATCCCCTGGAGCTGGACACCTGATGCCTGACTGGACTCTGCATAAAAACAAAGGGAGAAGTGGGTGCTGGAGAAAAAAACAGCAGTATCTGCTGGACTCATTTTGTGGACAGGGCTGTGTCATAGACAAGATGAGAAAGCTTGTTCTCTGCTGAGCGGCACCCTCCACAGGGAAGCAACCTTATCTCCTTGACCAGGTCAGATATTCCTGCTATTGTCATGGCACCTGCAGAGCTTTGTTCTTCCTTCTCCTGTCATTTGTGTGTGTGTGTGTGTGTGTGTGTGTGTGTGTGTGTGTGTGTGTGTGTGTGTGTTTTACTGGATTCTCTCTCTTTGAGAGACTGTACATATATACTAGAAGAATTCTTTCTGCACAAGATTGTATTTCTGCATCTGGTTCTTACATCTAAGTATAGGTGCCTGGATAAAAAGATGGATGGATGGATGGATGGATGGATGGATGGATGGATGGATGGATGGATGGATGGTGGGTGGGTAGATAGATGATGGATGGTATGTGGGTAGATGGATGGATCAATGGTAGATGGTGGGTGGGTGGGTGGATGGATGGATGGATGGATAAATGGATAGATGGATAGTTGGACATTACAACCACTAAAATGGGTCAATCTACCTGTTCTCTAATCTGCCTACCCACACACACAGCTGAATCTTTATTCATTTCTTTCCATTCCCACTCAATAAAATTATCTTAAAAGTACTTTGAAATGGAAGGGTTTTTTGTTTTGTTTTGTTTTTTGTTTTTTGTTTGTTTGTTTGTTTGTTTTTTGTTCTACTCCTAGAGCTAGCCTCAGGTTGGGCTATTACCTCTCTGGTTGGGTTGGTACCTTTTCTGCTAAGAGAGAGCTTCTAAAAGAAACTGAATAAAATGGAAAGGGGAGAAGGGAAAAGCCAGCAAGAAAAATAGGCAATTATCCTGACAGATGAGTAGCCCAGATGTTTGAGTGCAGAAGTAGGTCTGAAGGAACATCTTGTTCATGAGTGACAAAGGGTGGCTCAATGAGGTAGAGACAGGGTGTGCTCCTTAGGGGAGCACAGGGAGGAGGGTTGACTTTGGGACTGGTCCTGAGCATTATGAGGTGGGAGAAACATGCAGACTTTCTGCATGCTTGGCCTTGTCTGTGTTCTTCCTTTTAGTGTCCTTTAGACTTCCAGTCCCTGTTGCTTTGCATTACAATCACTGACAGAAGCTGAGGAGTCGGAGAAAAAATTGCACACAGAATCTCAGACCAAGAGTCCCACTGAACTTACTGGATTTCCTTGTATAAGATGGCCTGGCCCTTCTCGGGGGGCCTGAAGAAGATGTTTTCTGTGAAGTTGCCTTTCACCTACTTGTCAGAGCTGAATGGCAAACAATAGCTGGTTTCCCCTGGGTGTTTTAAATGTACTCAGACACAGTAAAGGAATTAGGGAAAGTGGGAGTGAATCTTAAAAGCAACTGAGCAGCCAGTGGGTGAGAGAGCTATTGAAATCCTTCACTGTAGCCCAAGAGACAGGCACATGCTCAGCTACAAAGCTGATGCATGAAGGTTGGCTACCAGCCACTGCTGGACGTACTGCCGGAGACACAGGACTCATTCCTATATGGTAGCCTCTGTTCACACCACGAAATGTCAGGTTTTCATTAGTGAGGCTTTTCTTGTTGTTAAGTGATTAATGCTATTGAAATGTGTCTCCTCCATTGCAAAAGCAGTCACTTCTCATTTTGTTACATTATAAAAGTAATCGTTACCTATTTTAGAGTAATCACTCCCTCCCCGGGGGAATCACTGCTACTGTGTTGGCATGAGTGTGCTTCATGGCTGGTGTGTATGCACCTATGAAGAAGCATATGTCAGAATTAAGATCAGGCATGTCTATTTCATGTGCCCAGTTATTGCTACACTTCACCTTAGGAAATCACTGAAATTTTAATCACATTATGTCAAGGGTTCAGTAATATTCCACCATTGTCTATGCTATGATCTAGTTAAGCAGTCCTTTAGGGTCTAATGTTAAAATTGTTTTCTAACAATTTGTTTTTATAAATAACACTGGGGAAAATCAATCTCTTTATTCAAGAAATGTTTTGTGTATCTAGATTCACTCAGGATAACTTTCTGAAGGGTATTTTCTGACTCATTGTGTATGTAATATTCTTGCGACTTTTAACCTATTATGAGAAAAGTTAAACCAATTTACAATCAAAAGACAAGGTACTAATCCAAATGCATTTATACACTCAGTGATAACATTCTGAAATCCCCAAGGGTTGGAAAAAGCAATGAAATAAAATATTTTATATGAAAAATGTTGAAAACTAGTAATTCCATTAAAACAAGCAATGCCATTACTATCTATTTTTAACCACCCAAGTAGAAGATACACCTTCCTTGGCCAAATATTGTAATATTAGTAGCTCTTTAAAAGCACTAAATCCTTGCCATCTTCCCTCTCTACATTCAGCAAACACTCAAAACAGTTCATTTCTTCCAAGCCATTTATTGAGTACCAATATATACAGTTTTGAATTAAATATGAGGACTAACACACACACACACACACACACACACACACACGTACACACACGCACACATGCACACATGCACACGTGCATGCGCACACGCACACACACTGAATCAATGAGTTTCTAGTCTAGCCTGAAGGGTTATAGGGATAGGGACCTGCAGAAAGATAAGTCAAATTCATTAGCATTACTATGTATACCAGCTTTATGAGACCCAGAGTGTCTGCCTGAATGAGAACTGAAACAGGGAATGAGGAGATACCTGGTCTTTCTATTGGGTGACCATGAACCCACCTTCACTGCTTCTAAAGTACCAAGGAGATGTCACGCTTTCTAGTAGCTGGAGTCCTGGGTAGAAAAAGAAACATCTTTATTTATTTTAACACACTACATGATAGAATTAGTAAGATCCCAGTGGTATGTATGTGCTGGCTACCATTTCTCTAGAAATCAGTGTGGCTATTTGGTGAATTCACTATGAATGCAGAGGCTGATTGCGCAACTGTTTGGAACCATAACAGGAGGCAAGGACTTAAGGAGATGTGAGGGAAAATAAAGGGAACAAACATAGCAACTGTTGGAGGAGAAAGACAGATGTTTAATAAGAAATTTGGCCAAGTAGCTGACATATAGTGGCTAGAGAACCCCTCAACCCTGTTAAACCACAAAATCTTTGCTCTTATTAATACTTGGAATAACAAAGGGCTGAGTGTAGTCTCCAGATGGGTGGGGAGTAATACTCATCCTTCATTTTTTCATATTTAAGCACTATCATAGACTCAGAACAGTGGTGCTAAGGCTGGAAATCCTTCACCTGAGTTGTACAGGATACAGAGTGACCATGGCCTACTTCTCTTCCCATATTTATTTGCTGGGCCCCTGAGGTTCCATGTGCCTGGTACATGAACCTACAGTTTCAGATAAAAAGTGGGGATTATAATGTCATCCTTTAGACCATAAAAGGCATTCAGCAGTCTGTTCCAAACACCCAGGTATGAGTAAGCCCTGCCACTTAATTACACCTAGGAAAAGCATCCCAAGATATTATATTTTGGCTTTCAAATAAATTGGCTGTTGACAGAACTAAGAATATCATCAAAGCAGCCATTTCTCCCACAGCCCATTGGTTTCATAATATTAAAATCAATTTCTGTTTCTAAAACTGGGCTGACAAGTATGGCACTACAATAGGTGCCTGCCAGGTCACGGATGGAAATCATCATGGATAAATGCCCAAGAAGTGTTTGTAGAGAGAAGGAGAATTGGACTGACCCTTCAGTATTGACTTCCCAAACTATTATCCCTTTCCTGGGTTCAGAGAGTAGTGGTCATAAGGCACAGCATCGGTTAAATGCTATGCAAACAAGCAATCATTTTATTCTTTTAAACCAAAGAGTAAGAATGATTTGCTGGGATTTGCCTAGTCATTGTTGTCATAGAAAAGTGTGCAGATGTTTGCATAGACCTGGTGTATTTCATAGGCCAGGGACGACTACTAGTAAAGTGGAAGCTGGGGCTTCAATTGGCTTGATAAACATCATCAGTGTCATGGAGGACTTAAGAAACACAAAGATGCAGAGAAGTATCCTTCTATAAGTGAAAGCCGCCCTTGAGTTTTAAGCTTTTAGCATGCTCAATTTCTCAAACTGATGTTTTATTTTTAAAATATTTTATTTATTCTTGAAAATTTTCATATATCTTGATCATATTTATTTCCCCTCTCCTAATTCCTCTCAGATATCCCCCCAACCTCCCTACCCATCTCTCCTCCACTCCCCCCTCCAAAAAAAGAAAAACAAGGAGTCCAGTTTGTCTTGTCTTGTCTGGCTCCTCCTGGGCATGGGGCCTGTTTTCTTGCTTTTACCTTGTACCACTATTTAAAGCTCAGATAAGCAGCTCAACTGTCTGGAATGCACGTGGGATCCAGAAAGCAAACCGAATAGATATCTGGACACAATAGATGTAACCAAACCTGTTCATCTACAGGACTGGTGGGAAATTCCTTCAGTCCTCCCTCGCAGCTGCTTGCCATCCTTTAAGTTGCTTCCACTCTCCAGATTTGCATTTTTCATGTTTGGTTTCTGACTTTACAGGACACAGGCAATGCTGTAGTAGAAGGGGCTGTCAGGCTTGCTAGAGGGAGGTGAAGTAGCAAAAACACAGCCACTGCACATTAAATTAAAGTTTTAAGGGAGCAAAAACAGTAAAGGATGGAAAGATGAGGAGAAGGAGTAAAGAAAGCTAACAAGAATATGTCTAGGCACTGAGTCCCAGGTATTTGATTTAAGCAAAGCTTCTTTGGTCTGTATTTATTTTCTATATAGTATCCTGTATCTATACACGGCAGCTCACTATAACTGATAAGTTCACCAGTGACCTCAATGTCCTAATTAAGAAGCTATAGAAGTGAATAATTTTTATATGTGTATCCAATTGGTTAAAATAAAATTTTTATTGGGGGGACATGTTTTAGAAAATTAGGTATATATGCTACCCCTGAATGTGTTTTCATTGAAAAAAAGAATGGACAAAATTTAAAAGGACTTGGATAAGGGTCATTATTTTATTTGAAAGTTATACAATCAAAGTTTTGTCTATTTTTGAGAGCCTTCATATTTCCTTAATTTCCAATAACTAAAATGTTTATGTATTTTGGCTACTAGCCAACTTCCTTGTAGCCAAACCTTATACATTTTAGTACATCTATCCCTGAGTATAAGTTAATGCACATGAAATGGTATTGGAGGAATCACCAAGGTCTCAGAACACATTCCTTAGTAATTTGAAGTGCGTCTTGATAGGAAGAAAGAAGTCCCTGGTTCAAGGGCACATGTTATTTTCCTTCCTATGGATCTGAGAGTATGAGCAAAGTGTGAAAATATTATGTTTTATATGGTTTTTGTTAGTGAGTCAGGCTGAGTTTGTAACTCAGTGGTGGACTGCTCACCTTTGTAGCATGAATCTTAAAAGTTCTTATTAATAAAAGCAAACCCAGATGTAGACAAATTTCTAAGTGGTCTTATTAAATTAAAAAAACATGAAGCAGGAAATAGGGGTGAAAATCTGACAGAGATCAGAGGAATTGAAACGCCACCGGCTAACCTTACCTCACCACACGGCAGCTTCCAAAGTGCGAGCTACTCCCTGTCTACCCACACCTTTATTGTCTTGCTGTTCTGCCCTCTCATTGGCTATCTTAGCCCAGCTACCTCACTTCCTTGCTATTGCCTGTCTGTGCAGACCTCCAGGTCTCTATGGTTGGTACTAGGAATAAAGGCGTGTGTCACCAGGCTTGGCTCTGTTCCCTAGTGTGGCCTTGAATACACAGAGACCCTGCTTGCTAAGTGATAGGATTAAAGGTGTATGCTAACATTGCACTTTTGTTTTTTACTAATAGTGGCTGACCTTTATCCTCTGATTCTCAGATAAATTTTATTGGGGGACACAGATGAATTATCACCACACACCTCAAATTCCTGAAACTCTAGGTTCAATCCAAAACACCACTAAGGAAGAAAGAAATTAAAAGCAATCAATCAATCATTCAATCAGCAAGTGTGAATGTGTACAACATGACAGGATGGATGATATAGAAGCTGAACAAAATGACTTTGATAATAGTGTTCAAGATGGCTCTATATCAGCAGATCAGGCATCAGAGGTTTTCATTTACTCATAGTTCTTCTGTTCAATTAAATAAAATAGTTACCATCCAAAGTTGTCCATGACAGCCATCTCTAGATTACCCATAGTTTAGCTAGGCTAAGCAAAACCAGGCATTTTCAATACTCAGGCCCTAGTTTCAAAGCTCAATGATAACTAGATCATTACTTCTCATCCCTGGGAAGTTCAGTGGGTTTAGAGTGGAAATCAAGAGCCTCCAATATATTGAATGAGTTCTTAGAACCACCACAAAATCCTCAGCTTCATTTCCTGCAGGCCAGGAAGAGAAAGGAACACAGAGACAAAGATGGTGGGGTCCGGGGAGAACATATATGGGGAAAGCTTTAAAGATTAAGACTAGACTAAAAGTGTAGCTTTCTCCCCAGTTTCAGAGGCCACAATCCTCTGACCCCATCCAACTACAGGATGAGTAATAAAGAGAACCTAAACTGTAGAGCAAAAGGAAAGGAGACCCCAGTTGTGATGAGTGCTGGACCTTTTTCCTTCATCTGTGATGTACTCTCAGCAAGCTGGCTGAAGTGGTAAAGAAGAGCAGGAATTAGAAAGAAGAAAGATTTTTGACACGTTCTTGAGAATTTCTCATTGGGCTTAACCAGCTTTCTCAAATGTGGATATAGAAAGAAAAAAGATTTTTGACACGTTCTTGAGAATTTCTCATTGGGATTAACCAGCTTTCTCAAATGTGGATACAACCCATCCTCAAGGCTCTGAAGATTTTCCCATCAGACACTTGGCCATTTTCCCAAGAGACACTTGACACTTCATGCCAGATCCTGCTTTATTAGTCAGCTTCCCCCCCCACACACACACACACACAGCAAGGCTGAGGTAGAGGTACTATGATCATTGCATCTTACAGATGAGGCCACTGAGGCTCAATGGGGCTTCATGGGTTACTCAAGACCACACAGTCACTCTGAGGAGGGAGAACTTGACCTCCCTCTCCTCATGTGCAGAGGTGAAACTGGACCAGGTCCTTTCAAGTCTTGAGTTTCCTTTCAGATCCAAAATGCCATGATTCAAAACTCCAAAAATCTTAAGCAGGCAGCCAAAGAAGCAGGAAAACAGTAATTAACCTTTTTATTTTTGTTTTAAATTTCCCCTTCACTTCCAAGCTTGTTTCTAGAAATTAAGAAACGTATATAAATAGATTAGGTTGTTACTAGCAATGATTTATTTGTGCAGGGGGATGATTTTTAATGAAATCTAAGCTTGTTTTGTGTTTAATTAAATAGCGCGGATGCATACACACAGGCACACACACACACATACTATAAAGAAGAACCTTTTTTAAACAATCTGGTAAACCATATGTCCTCCTACTATTATATGGCCCTTGGTAGTTGGGTTTACCATAGTAATAAACAGCAGTGAGATTTCTGTGACTTGAAGCAACATTCATTGTTTACTCACTTGACAACAGGCAGCAGGCTGGCCATGGTGCTTCTGGGATTGGCTGGGCTCTGCTGGGTGCTATAGAATTCCATTTGCCTTCTTATGTTGGAACCCAGAGTAAGGATGTAGTCACTATCAGATACAATACTGTAACCCTGAAACTTAGAAAAAGAAAATCTAAGCCACATCCTACAACTGTTTCTTGATGGACAGATGCAGCCAAAGTAGTCACAATTATTCACATCTCATTAGCTACTGCCTTCCAAATGGATGAACCTAAAGTAGTGGCATTGGGGTGTGTCCCTTTCTAACATAATGCCTGAGTATGTCTTGTAATGATAAATGTCTCTCCATGACTGGGAATAAGAAAACATTTAGGGACTATAATCAAATCAGCCCACCACCACGTGGCCTCCATCAAAGCCTCAAATGTGGCATTTCTCACAGAGAGACAGCCCCTCTACTTCCTTCATGATATCTCCCTTTTCCTTCTTTTACCTCTGATTGGAGCTCTCAAGTTTCAGCTTGAATGACAGTCATAGAACTGCATGTTTGAAATGCCTCTTCCTGGGCGCCACATCCGGAGACATATTAAATTAAAAAAAAAAAAAAAAGAAAAAAAAAAAAAAAAAAAGATAGTGTATCTAGAACAGTCTCTAAAGATAATACTCCCCGGAATATCTACTACTACAGAACTTCCACAGCACCCAACCTTGGAGCCACCTTTGGATAGTGCATTTGCGTACTGAGACCCCTATCAAAAAAACAGACGACAACTGGGTGGTTGTGGCACATGCCTTTGATCCCAGCATGGGGAGGCAGAGGCAGGAAGATCTCAATGAGTTCAAAGCCAGCCTGATCTATAAAGTGAGCTCCAGGATAGCCAGGGCTGTTACACAGAGAAACCCTGTCTCCCCCGCCCCCCCCCAAAAAAAAAGCCAAAAACAAACAAACAAACAAGAAAGATGGATAACAGCCTTGGAGAATTTAGAGCCTATGGTACCAAGGTCATCTTATCTGTTCCCAGCTCTCATGCCCAGGTGACATTTTGTGCTTCTGGGATGGGGCTCCCTAAAGGTAGGACAGCTGGTCCTCTGTAGATACTTAAAGTGGAAAGTGTGTGATAAGTAACACAGGCTCTGGAGTTCAAATACAACCCTCTTTACCCACTAGCTGTGTGATCTTGGACAATTTACAGAACATCTCTGGGCTTCATCAGTGAGATGCGAATAATAATAGTACCTATACTTCAAGACTGTCATAAGAGCTAAGCAAATGGACAAAGCAGTTCCTGGTGTGCAGTGTATCCAATACAAGGCTCTCATATTTCATCACCACAGTTGTGAGAAACCTGGGGATTTGTGAGATAAGGTCATTGTTGTGCACGCCCCTTACCCTTTTGAATATCAATGTCCTCATCTTTGGCATGAGAATGATAGGCTGGGCATAGTAATAAAAATGACAGAAATTGCTGCTCTGATTCTGCAGAGGTCTATTGTAAGAATAAGGTATGATGATGTGGGAGTGCTATATACGCCAGCCTACGGTGCAATAAAAGGCTGAGCATTTTACCTTTGATGTTGACTCAGAGTCCAAAGACTAGATTCATTGTTTCTGTGGTGCTGCCTGCCCATGTAATGGTGATCAACCAGTAACCTCAGTTTCCTCTTCTCTCAGTGGGATCTAGTAGTGGAGGCTTATCTGTATGTATTAGGCAACATCATGTGTTAAGGACCCATCAGTGGTCCTTAGCTCTCTCTACATCTTCCAATAATGTACAGAGCTTTTTTTTTTTTTTCTTTTGTGGTCATGCATCCCAGTAGGCCCAACTCAAAACCAATTAGTATCCATCATCCATTGGTATCTAGGGAGATATGGGCTTGATGCTAAAACCCTTAAATCTTAGCTATTGAGGAAGCATTATAACACACAAAGATTACAAGTTCAAGTCTTGCCTTGGATACAGAGTGAGTTCAAGGCCAACACAGTCAACTTAGGAAGACTGTGTTCCTCTCCCCCACCGCCCCCCCCACCACAACAAAATTGAGAAGTGAAGAGGAGCTACACCTCAGTGATGAAATACTTCCTAGCATATGTGAGGCCTTAGGTTTAGGTTTAAAAATTGCTACCAGGAGGAGGGGGAGAAGGACGAGAAGAGGATGAGAAGGGAAGAGGAAATGGAAGAGCAGAAGAAAAAAAGAGGAAGAGGAGGAGAATCATCTGTCAGTGGGATCATCTGTCTGGGTTCAGACCCCTGCAGATACCAATGAGTGGATATTCACATCTCTTGTATAAAATGTCATACTATGTAGACGTAACCTATGCAAATCCTTCTATATATTTTAAATCATCCTTAGATTACTTGTAATACCTGATATAGTATAAATGGTACATTCAATTATTCTGTCCTATTTAGGGAATGGCAAAATATCATATTCGAAAACAATGCAAATGTTCTCCAAATGCTTTCCATCTGGGTTTGGTGAGGCTACAAATGCAGAAGCTGTGGACTAGGGAGTGCCCAACCACCTTCAGAATGTCTAGGGACACAGTGTAGGAATGGGAACTCTCCCATGCTGGTAGTGTGAATCTTGGCTTGAAATCCACTGGAGTCTGTGGAGTGGCTTAGTGAGCTAGCCGCAAAACATCATATCCAGTACATGATGCTTTTGCAGTTATTTATCGACAGATGATCCCATGAGAGGCTGATTCCTCTGAAAACCAGGCCAACATGGATTTTCCAACATCTGTCCAAACTGTGACCTGGCCAGGGAGAATTGACACTCACCCTGCTCCTCTCCTTTCCTTTAAGCCAAAAAAAAAAGGCTGAGCAAAACCAAGCCTCTGTCAGGGGAAAGATGTTGCTGGGACTATGGTGAGTGAGTGAGGAGAGTTGGTGTAATTGGAGTTGCAAGCGATGCCTCCAGCTATGGGTAAGCACCTGGTGTGTCAAAGTGACTCCAGAGCAGAGGTGAATACAGCACTGAACTGGAATTTGCCACAGCTAGCTTTGAAGGTAGATCTTTCCATGAAACTACCCTTATGCAGTACCAGCCTGAACCAGCTCCCATTTGGACCATGCTCTCTGCTAACTGAATGCTTCTTACAGAATGCAGCTCTCTGCTTGCATAGCACATGCATGCACACAGCACACCACCCTCTCAGGCCCCTCTTGGGTTTTTGAAACAGGGGAAAGGTGGGATATAGGGAGTCAGAAGTGGGTGTTTCAGAATGTCTCCACATCCATTTCTAGTAGCTTTCACACAACCATGAGGCTCTAGCTAAACCACCAAACAGTTGTCCAAATGGGAGCTGACTCAGGTTGGCATTACACAGGGAGACAGGTCATCTGGGAAATTTAATTGCGGATAAATTACCACACTGTGATGTGTGCATCTTTGCACTGGATTCATTTTAATAAAACAAATGCTGAGTGCTTATTCCTAGCTGGAGTTATTGCTCCGAAATCCAGCATACAACCATCTTAATCTTCAGCATGGTGTGAACCGGCTAATCCTTTCTGTTCTTCTCCCCACCCTGAGCAGATTATGCCTTTTGTTTTCCAAATTAAATGCTAGCAGCATTCTGTATTGGAAAGAAAAGTCAAACTGAGAATCAAAGGGCATACATGGGATTCTTTCCCAGTTATTTCAGCCTCTGACCATTTAGTACCTAGGGCAGGTGAGGTGATCCAGTGAGCAGGGGAGCTCAAAGGAAGCACCTAACATTGCATAATACCTCAGTAAATGAATGCACTTGAAATTAGTGTGCAAAACATGAAGATGTTCTTGCATTTGGGGGGTGGGAACAAGAAAGAGGTTTGAAATGTAATTAGGTTAATGAGCAGAAGGTATGGCAGGTAGCATACTGACCACTTACAGTAAAGAACCAATGTGGGTGAGCATTGTGATGTCTGCAGGGCTTCCTTGTAATAAAGGTTTTGCCTGCTGGGGGAGGGATGTGACCCCTGAAGAAAACTGATGGTGCTCCTGCAGATTGTCCTACAACCAAGCACGTACAGGCAGCGCTAAGTGAATTCAGTGGATTAAAAGAAAAAAAAGCACATGGAGTTCAAAGGGAATAGTGGTGTTGGGGATCGATGATAAATTGGAGGGGGAAAAAGGGAGGCATATTTGATCAAAATGTATTATATGCATGTATGAAATTCTCAAACAATTTTTTAAAGTTTGCCAAAAACCAGAAACAACCCAAACATCTAAAATATTAGAATTAATGAAGAAATTATAGTATTTCATTCAATGAAATATAAATGAAATGAAATGAAAATAAATTATGTAAATTTTCATACAATAGCCAGAATGCATCATACAACAATGTAGAATGGCAGAAGCCAGACACAGACTCCTACAATGCTTGTTGTGTGATCATATGATATAAAGTACACAGACTAATCTTGTACTAGAAGTCAGGAAAGGACTGTTGGGATAGGTAGAGATCAGGAGGAGCCACCAGTTCTATTTCTGGTATACTTTTTTTTATTCTTTTGCAACTTGGATGGTAGCATAGATCTATTCACTTGGTAATAACTTATTGCAGAATGCTTAAGGTTGACTCTTTAAGTCTTGAATTGGCTTGTCCATCAAGGATTGGGCTTCTAAGAGCTAAGAAGATCCTCACAATCCCCTTGCTTATTGGGTCCATTTCTCTGGTTAAGGAAACTGAGACCACAGTGATAGAAAAGCAGGATGGAGCAGAGACGACAGGAAGCTCCTAGCGTCAGTGGGTGGAAGCAAATCCCACACCATGGGAGAGCTGAGGCTTCAGGCGTTTGTAATGGATTATCTCAAGGCCTAGGTGGGCCGAAACATGCAGAGAGAGTCTCAGCAGAAAGGATGAGGAGCTAACACCAGGCAGTGATTTGTTGAGAGTTCAGGTCTGTCCTATCTAACATTTGATGGTCATACTGCCTCCTCCCCTATAGTATGCCTCCACGATGGGGTGGGGGGGCTCTAACTAAGGCCATGGGCCCCCCGACTGGTTTTCCATCTAGGGAAGAGTCACTCTAGTTCCCCAAAAGAATGAGCTACCAGACCACAGACTGCAACCTCAGCTGTTGGCCTCTGTGGAAGAGGGCTGGCTGAAAGGGAGACGGTAATAAAGAGGAGCTTTTGGAAGGAGTAGGTCTAAATAGGACCGCTGCTGATACAGAAAGCATCCTCAGCGAGAAGAGGGCTAAGGAGTTCGCTTGGCATTTGTGCCACAGCAGAGTGGAGCATGGTAGGAGTCTGAATAAGGTCATGGAAAGGGGCATGGAGATGGGCAAGTCTGAGGATTCAGAAGTAAAGAAGCCAAATCAGGCAGTTCTGGACAAAGCAGATGAAAGTTGGGAGCTCACCATAAACCTGCTCATAGACAGAGACTTCACTTTTCAAACACAGTCATACTTAGAGAGTTGGTAATATGTGGATCCTGAGATGACTGCCTTTTGGCTGAGTATGCAAGGGTCACTTTTTGCTAACTGGATTCCAAATATTAAAATATTTGCACTACAACATCATGCAAAGTTGTGGACCTTCCTCGGTATCCCAGCCCCAGCTGAAGTGGCCAGTAAGGGGGACCATGCCTGTTTTTGATCAGGATCTGCTTGCAGTGGAGAACTGATTCAGACAGAGACATAAAACCCAAATCTATCCCTGGGCTAGCATCTGCTACCACAAAAACTGGTCTGTGAATCAGCAAGGGGTATGCTTAATGGTAGGACAAAGGTACAGCATCCCATTGACCAGAGATAACATTTAGCATAGCTCCACTGAAGGAGAACAGTTGCTGTTCTGTTTCCCTCTGAAAGTTTGCTTACCACACCATGGTTACCTTGCCAGAGAGTGTAAGATGAGGAATGAGTTGGGAAGCCATTGTTAAAAACACATTAGGAACATGTCTAATTCCTTGGCACAGGAGGCTTGGGGCATTGGAAAATGCCTGGGTGTGACCAGATTCCAGGGTGTGTCTCAGGAAGTCATAGGAGCAAGTTGTTGTTTTACACATGCAGAGAGCGGTTTCTGATAGCATTTTTAAAAGGAGAAACTTAAATTAGAAGTTTCTTTGATCCTGCCCCAGCAGAAGAGAAAATAAAAACAAATAACTAAATCCACTCCTGCCTCTGCTTACCTTGATTCCTATCCTAGTATTTCATTTGCAAAACAGGCCCAGCCCTGTCTGGCAGAGCTTTCTGACCTCACCCAGGAGGGGTGATTTATAGCATGGTGATCTCAGGTGTTGTTCTTGTGATGCCCAAAGGAGTAAGGAAGTCTCAATAAAGAGATGTTATAGAACATCTTTGCCAGGGAGCAGAATCCCACTTCCAAGCCAGGCTGAGCTTTAAAGATGGCCAGGATGAAGATGCACACGAAGCTTCGACAGATCAACATGATTGGAGACCCTTAAGCACAAGTAGAGTGACAGCTGAGATAACCTCTACCTGTCCTAGTTTTCAGGCCCCAGTTCACCCAGGTCTTGGCGGACTTCTCCTCACAGGCCTTGCCTCATGTATCTCCCCTATAGAAGGAGACAATTTTGCTATATCACAGATGTCCCACAGATATCATGATTTCGCAGATGCTCTGGGACTTGCCAGATTGCGCTCTCCTGTTAGCACGTGGTTGACAGCCTATTAAACTGTTTCTCTACATTCAGTTCCCATACCTGGTACAATGGAGTGGGTGATGGTAACCAGTATCTACTGGGGCCACAGAAAGAACAAAATGAAATTCAAGTGATGACTCAGCCCAGGGCCTGGACTATAAGTGAATCATTTAAAACCCATTTGAAGTCTCTGACCACTTGGTTGAAAGAAAATGCCCCCCCCCCTCTAGAGTTTAAAAGAAGCAGATTAGATTGAGAATATGCTACCTGGGGGGACGGGAGGAGTGGGAATAAGGAATCCAGGGAAAGCAAGTGAAAGATCTCCAGCACTTTGATGGGCCCGTGAGTGGGTCAGCAAAGTTCTGAACCTGAATCCTCAATGCAAGGACACTGCTTATTGGTGCCGACATACATACCCCAAGCTTCCAATGTCATCAAAATGTCTATTTCTGTGTGATTTCACAAGCAGTAGTGGCAGATTTAACACACCTTTTAAAAAATTGTCCATTGAGTAATATGTGTTTGACAGATAGAAGGCGTTCCCTGATCAGGAGGAAAGGACAAATTCTGGTCCTTTAGGGGCTCATCAGGCAACTCTTCACGTGGCCTAAGATGGGCAACTTTGCCTCCTAGATATTTTTCCCTTGATTTACAAATAAAATTTAAAGGGAGATTAAAACCATGTGTTTCTGGAAATTTACACATAGTTCATCAAATCTATTGTTTTCTGGGCAATGTTTGAAGTCTAATAAGACTAATGAGAATTTTTTTTAAAAGTTTTTTAAAATCTTTTTTTAAGGAACATGAGAGGCTTTGAAAGCTGTTCCAAGTGTAAAAATAATAATATTAATAATAAATTGCTCAAAACTCTCTAGCCCTGCAGGTTCAAAATTGACTTATTACTCTGACCCCAAGAGATTTGAATTATTACTGGAGTTCATTGTCTCTTGTTTATGGGGCTTTACAGAAAAGAGAAAGAGGCCACACGGAGGGTCACTAAAATTCGTTATGAGGTTTGCTTCATGGCCATGGCTATATCCCTGGAGACTTCCAGAACTGTCTCAGCCTGAACTTAGACAGGAACGTCCACCCCGGCCCTTCCACTCTCAGTGGGGCCCTATCAGTAAGTGGAGCTGGCTCAGAACGCTGGAGCCAGAGCCCTCCGTGAATAGATCTCTTGCAGGGCTCACACGCTGTGTTACATAAGCGGGTACTGTGCGCTTAGACACCTAAACAATGCCGTGGAAATCGAACAACTTTGGTGAGTGCAGAAAACAAACCCCAGACAAGTGAAAAGCCAGCCGCCTTGACGTCCCTTGAACTCTCGCGTCCGTACCTTGTTGTCTGAGGACCTCTTGTGGTGAAATCTTTGCCGGCATGTGTGAATCAGTGCTTCTAAAACCAAGCCATCCCATGCTACATTTTCCTACATTCTCTTCCCCGCTGTTTTGTTGGTCACGTTAAGCAAGGAACAAGAATCAGTTGCAAGCAGGTTATTTATCCAGAATAAAGTGGTGCATGTGCCCGACCGGCTGTAACTGAGCAGATGTTACCTGGTGTTTTCTCTTCCAGGGAGCCTCTGATACATTGCCTGTAGCAAGAAACAGGAGCCAACATGAAGGAAAACATGCCATCTGCCCTTGCTTTCATCCTACTTTTTCTCAACATCGGTCTTCTGAATGGTAAGAGACCCTCTTCTTACTCTCCTTGCCTCAGGTGCTTATTGGGGGGTAGAGGCTATCTTAGTCCGTTGCAATGCAGTTATGAGAAATGAAAACGTTCGTGTCATTTGCTGCTACTAAATTATTTGCCACATTTCTGCATTAAAATTAATGCCAAATCTTATCACTGTGTGCCCTCTCTTCCACCCCCGTTTTGAGAGTAGATTGCAATGGCACTGGGGATGCCAGGACCTGAGTTCCCATGCAGGTTGTAGTCACAAGCTGTGTGATTTGAACCCCTTGTCTATCTCACTGTTTTTAATTTCTCCGAGGGAGGATAGTGATATCTCACAAACTTCAGATGAAATAATGTTTGTGAACATACCTTTGAAAAACTATAAAGGAATGTAAGTGATTGCCATTACAAGGTGGAAAACAGATGTAACCACTTTCAGTGTGGGTGCTAATAAGAGAAATAAAGCCACAGCTAAATTAAAAGGCATGTGATTGTCTACATAGGTTTCCACATCTATTTCTATGTACTTCTGGGGGTGTGTACTTGTGAATGCACCCATGTACACACCAACTGCTTATGGTACCTGATTGTAAATGTTTCTGCGTCTGTATATGTATATGTGTGTGTGGGTACCAATGAGTAACCTCTGTGTATTTACATATGTGTATATTGTTGTGTGTATGTGTACCACTATATATTGCCATCGTTATGCCTTTGTGTGTATTTCTCTCTGGATATATTTTACATGAGTGTAATGTATTATGTGTGTACTTACTTCTGATGTGGAATCTGTGTAGGCAAGTGTCTGCATTTCTTGGACCTGTATAATATCCCTTGTGTCTGTTCGCTGAGACAGTCCATAAAGTTAGTTTCCTCAAGGGGCATGAAAATAACATTCGACTGGTTGTAATCTCACAGCCTGACCTTTTCCCCTTGAGTTTCCTAAAAGTGCTATTAATAGCCAGTAAAAATGTAGAAGAGATAAGTTCAGAGGGAGGGGAAAGAGAGGAAGAAGGAGAAAGAAGAGAAGAGAAACAAAAATCATGATAACCCATGAAAGAAACTCTTAAGTACTCACGTAATCAACAACGGCCCTGTCCAGCTTCAAGTAGCCTCACTATTGAGCTACAGAGTTTGAAGGTTGGCTGTAGACAAATTTCTAAATGGTCTTTTTAAATAAAAAAACATGGAGCCAAATATAGGGGTGAAAGCCTTAGATCAGGGAAATAGGGAAAGCCACCGGCCAACATTACCTCACCAACTCTGCAGCTTCCAAATGCAAGCTTCTTCCTGTCTTACCCACGCCTTTATTGCCTTGCTGTTCTGCCCATTCATTGGCTTTCTTAGCCCAGTTACCTCACTTCCTTGTCACTGTCTGTCTGTACAGACCTCCAGGTCTCTATGGTTGGTACTGGGATTAAAGGTCTGTGTCACCACGCTTGACTCTGTTCCCTAGTATAGCCCTGAACACACAGAGACCCTGCCTGATGATTGGATTAAGGGCGTGTGCTGCCTGACTTTTTATTTACTTAAAGTGGCTGGCCTTTTCCCCTGATCCCTAGGCAAGCTTTATTAAAGCACAAATTAAATATCACCACATTTTCCCTTTTTTGTCTAATAAAAATTAAAAATAAATTTTAAAAAGTTATAACTAATATATGAAAAACTATATACAATAAATACAATAACTATATATAATATATACAAGCAATAAATACATCAACAATGTCTACACTATTTGACAAATTCAAAGAAATTATTCAATTATCTATTCTATTTTGGTGAGTTCAAAATGTACCTAATTCACTTTCTGTCCTAACTTATATTACCAACAGAAAACTATCTTATGATGTCTTTCAAACTTATACACAACACCTGTTAGTGAGTTTCTTTTCTGAATTTCTTAACAAGGAAAACTGTAACTATAACTATCTATCCTTCAACTCTCTCAGAGACCCAAGAAGGAAATAATACCTAGTAAAAAATGAAGTGCAAACAAGCAACTCCCAAAAAAAAAAAAAAAAATGTGAGTTGGCAGAAACAGTCAGCTGCCTGGACAGTCATCTGACTTTTCTCTGCACATTGGGGCATCATCTTCGGCCTATAGGCTTAATGTATCCGACAGACTCATTTGTGAAGTAGGATGTACACAAGGCCTACAGCTCGACTTCACATCCAGTGAGAATATTTCATGTACCAGATAAACTTGAATTCCACCAGTGTCCTGTCATGATTCAGGATTTTAAATTCTAGAAATTTCTGGTGTTTTTGGAATTCAGCCGCCCTTTCTTCTCAGCTTGTGGGTGGCTTCATCTCAGCATCCCATTCTTCTTGGCTTGTGGGTGGCTTCATCTCCTTTATTAATTGCCAGTCTACCATTGAAAGGCTAGACTCTGTTAGCCTAGTTACTCCTTCAAGAATAACTGTTTCACTGCACATTAGAAGTCATCAGTCCACTGCCTGTTCAGCTGCCTTTGAAGAAAGAGGCACTGTGCCTTTTCAAGACTGCAGAGTCACTTCAGGGATGGTGCCATATTGTCCTAGCCTCAGAGGACACCTGTTGCCAAAGCTGCAACCACATTTGCCTTGGCAAGGATCAGTAGTCCTTTGTTTTGTGTCCTGTCTGTCTATTTTGGATAGCATGCTGTCAGCAGTTGATGCAAGGGCACTTTGTTGCCCAGTGGCTAACTTTTGCCACAATCAAAGTTAACTCCACATGCATTTTCATCAATGCCTTTATCTTCTCTTAAGCAGATTGGTGCTGCCAGGAGCCAAAATGTCTCATAGTCATTAAAAAAAAAATCTTATGTTATTAAAACATTTAAATGCCATATTCTGTAGATCTCTGAAGGGTTTGAAGATGACCTGTCTATCTAAAGCACATCTCTGCTTGACCTTGAAAACATACCTAATATGACTACAAATTTGATTATAATGTCTAACTACTAACTTTCATTTCTTTATATCCTAAGAGTTGGTAACAATAACATTCAAGGATTAGCAAATTGCATTACATTGTTAAATGAACTGTATAGGTACAATATTTTGAACAAGATTAAAAATATATGTACAGCATTTTCTAACAATATCAATCTCAATATATATATAATTTATATATAATATGTAAAAATCCAATTCAATGTAAAGTATTTAAAACTAGTAGTTGTCTTTTAAATCTACTTTTTATCTATATCATATCTATATCCTCTCTTTTTTCTTTTCAGAGTAGATTCAATAATCTACCCTTTATTCCATCATTTCTATATATCTTTTCTTTCAGAGTAGATTCAATAATATAGCTCTTATCTATATCCTCTTTTTTCTCTTCTTTTTTTTCTTCAAACAAGAACCTTAAATCTAATCTCCTTTGTTTAGCCCTTTCCTTGACCATTAACATGAACAACTTGTAACCAACCATCCTAAACAATGATAATTATCCCAAACCCAAAACCCACTGAAAGACCAAAAACCACCCACCCCACCTCTTGGGAATATGGGCGTCATGTTCTTAAAATTACTTCCTGCTGTTTGGGAGTGAAGGCATCTTTAGGAGATCCTGAAAAGAAAAATTTGGAGTTAACTGTCAAGTTCCAGAGTAGTAGCTGTATCATTTGTTGTCCAGCTTCTACATAATGCCAAAGTGCAGGGCTTATCTCAAGTCATCTCGAATAGTCTATGAGGCTGGATCATCTCAGCTAGCCATTTCAAAATTGTCCTGAGCAGTTTGTAGTCCAAAGCTGATCTTTTGGTGGTGTTTGTCAGCTTAGTGGAATTACTATTGTCCACGTGGAATCATCATTGTGGGGCCCCATCATCTTTCTGGAGACTTCAAATTTGCTGTCAGGCTTGGTCTTGATTCCCTGCCCAAAACTGATAGAGACTCCAACAGAAAAAAAAAAACAAAACAAACAAACAAAAAAAAAAAAACATGTATAGGCAGCTAAATGAAGCCTATTTTCTAGAATTAGTACTCTATATGACCATTCATATCATAATGAAAGTTTAAAATGCGTATATATTAATCTTATAAATTTTGATATAAAATTCATACCTTAAGAAAAGTTTAAAGAATCAAAATAGAACCAAAGAATTGAGATTAGTGACAATGGAATAGTCCCTTAATTTTTTGGTTTTCTTCTGTCCCATATCAGATGGCTCTTTCTTCATACATGATACAGAGATTTTTGCATTTTCCTTTTAACAATATGCTTGGGTTTTTTGGAAGTTCCTCACAGTGCTCTTCCTATTTACTTAGGTAATATTATATCCTTCTGAGGTGTTTGATGTAGTTGAAGACTAGATAGTTATAATTTTCCTTGGTTATGATAAAAGATAAATTAGATATGAAACTTCAGACTCACAAATATAGGATAGATAGAATATTTTCTATAATTTTGCCAAATACAAATAGACTAGATATTATAATTATAATTCTTGCTTGATAACTGTTCTATTATATGTTAATTTTACTATGTTAAAGTTAAAACCTTCCTTTTTGATTAGACAGAAAAGGGGAGGTGCTGTGGGATGTTCTGTATGCTATGAATATGTGTTGCTCTGATTGGTTGATAAATAAAATGCTGATTGGCCAGTAGCCAAGCAGGAAGTATAGGCAGGATAAGCAGACAAGGAGAATTCTGGGAAGAGGAAGGCTGAGTGAGGAGACACAAGCCTGCGTCCAGTGAGCAGAATGAAATTGGCACACAGGTAAAGCCACAGAACACGTGGTGGCAACATATAGATTAACAGAAATGGGCTGAGTTTAAGTGCAAGAGCTAGTCAGTGGTAGGCCTGAGCTAATGGCCAAGCAGTTTTAATTACTATAAGCCTCCGTATGTTTACTTGAGTCTGAGTAGCTGTGGACCAGGTGGGACAAAGAAAAACTTCAGCTACAGTTGGCAGTGATAGTGGTTTGGATCTTAGGTTTTGTTTGTTTGTTTCCTTGCTTGCTTGCTCTTTGGTTGATTGGTTGGTTGGTTGGTTGGTTGGTTGGTTGGTTGGTTGGTTGGTTGGTTTTTATCAAGACAGAATTTCTCTGTGTATCCCTGGCTATCCTAGAACTCACTTTATAGAGCAGGCTGGCCTCAAACTCAGTGATCCACCTGCTTCTGATTCCTAGTGCTGGGATTAAGGACATGCACCACCATGCCCTGCTAGTTTGGAAGATTTTTAATGAATATTTCTCTCTACATCACATGTTTCTCCTCACCCATAACAGAAACAAACAAGATAAAAGAAACCTTGCACTTTTGCAATGAGTCTTTTGCAACATCACTATCCTGACAAAACCTTCCCTGGAGGATGAACAATTCTCCAAACATTGGTAGATACACACAAGGTACACACAGATTCTTTTCTGTGAGCTCCTGTGACACTCTGTTATCACTGACTGGCCAGCCTTCTTTCCATGGCCCCATTTGGTGCACCATCCTAAACCATCCATTAAATTCTTCTTCCTGGATAGATTGTATACCGACCCCCTTTTCTAATCCATGATCCCTTTGCCATGATCTTTCATGGCATGTTCTCCTGGACAAAAGTTTCATCCTGAGAGCCTACATGAAAGGTTGAATAAATGTGGGGAAAGATGTAAAAAGCCCCCTGAGATGCTAACACCAATTTCTGAAAGAAAACTCTTTCTACTCCTGAATTTAGCATTGGATCCTCAAGTGGGACCAAAAAAAAAAAAAATAGGAAAATGAGATATACTGTCAGTTATGGTTGACCTCCCAAACTAACAGCATCATGACAAAGTCACAAGGTTATTCTGTTCCTCTTTCAAGCAAGAGAATTGGAAATCAGCTTACCAAGAGCTTTGAAGATTAAGCTAGTGAAAAATCTCATCCCCTTGGCCACATCACCTACTGCAGACTTTCTCACTTTTTGTGCTGACAGTGGGAACATCCCTTATCTAACCATGGTAGCTCAGAGTGAAATTACCCCCATCCTAACTCTTACCATACTGCCTGCTTTTGAAGATCCACAGAACTACAGGGAAGGTTTGAGTCACCTACTCAAAAAAAAGAACCAAAGGGAGGGGGAAGAAAAAAAGAAAGAGGGGATGGGAGTAAATACAAAAGGAAACTAAAAACCAAGATTCAGAAAATAGCAAAAGGAAGAATTCGGGGATAGTGAAACTAGACTATAAGTCTGTAGAGTTCTCAGCCACAGGTAGGACATATTACACACACACACACACACACACACACACACACACACACACACACACACGGCTTAAGAGCCATTT